GCTCAGTTTGGTGTGTATAGAGAGGTGTTTTTTTTTTTTTCTTGGGAGAGTGCATGTGATCAGCACAGGGGCCAATCAGTACTGTCCAGAGGTCGGGCATTTCTTCATGTTCCTAGAGCAGAAAGAAAACTCCTCCTACAAGCTTTAACCAGTGCTCTGCTGGACACTTGTAGATGTCACAAGACTGCTCTAACTGCTGATGAGAAAAGGAATTTAGTAGTTTATATTTACTAAAATAATTGCATTTCCATGTAGTGTGTACTATGGGAGTCCTGAGTTTAGTAACACTTTAATTTTTAAGTAACAAATTTATGTCTGTTCCTCCTCAGAAGGACTACTATAGGACTACTTCTTTCAAAATGGGACTCCCCAATGTATCTGTGTGTTTTTAATTAAAAGAGAAATTACGTTTGATGCAACCAGTAGCTTCTATTAGGACCATTACAGTTGGGTGACAACGTTCTTCTGGGGAAATAACCTGGCTTTGCCGTCCCCAAGGAATGTCAACTTGTCCGTTTTTGTTTTTTTTTTTTGTTTTTTTTTTTGTCCTTTTCAAGATAAGTTTGTCAACTTGTGTGTACTGATCCTGTACCTGTGGAATAAGTATACACTGTACCAGTTCTTGTGGGTGTAGAGATGCCTGTAAACCAAAAGGGAAACTGGGGTTGATTTACTAAAACTGGAGAGTGCAAAATTTGGTGAAGCTGTTCATGGTAACCTATCAGCTTCTAATTTCGGCTTGTTCAATTAAGCTTTGACAAAAGAAATAAAATAAATAGGTGCAGCGCTATAAAAATGACAAATTATAACGTTCATGATTATGCCAATAAAATGATAGTCAGTTAAGATATAAGTGCACGTAAGCTGTGGATTCTTCAATTAGTGCTCCAAATCGTATGGAAGAATTACGCACTCACCAGATGCGTAAAGTAAATACGCATTAAATATCACTGCAGGGGTCTCACCTAGGTGTTGGATGGGGTCCTAATCCTGGGCAATCCTCCTTCTGTGTATGGTGGTGTTTTTTCAGAGCTCACGGATGGGAATATGGTCCAGCTGGCCAGAGATCCCTTTAAGGGATGGGCGGGTGTAGAAGCCTGCTTTAAGGAACTCCCCTCTCTGGATACTGTGTTGGCTGGATCATGGAGGGCTCTAGAAATAAATCGCTGCTCCTCCATATCCAGGGTACGCCATGGTGTGGGCGCGCTGGGCTCTGTCCTAGGAATGGCGATGTCTCCGTACACCAATCAGCTCCTCCGGCCTCTGACGTGTAAACTACAATCTCGGAAACGTAACGGACCAAACACTGTCCGCGGCCTATCTCCGCCCTCCGCTTGTTGGTCGACCAACCTAGGCGAGACCCCTGCAGTGATATTTAATGCGTATTTACTTTACGCATCTGGTGAGTGCATAGTTCTTCCATACGATTTGGAGCACAGATTGAAGAATCCTCAGCTTACGTGCACTTATATCTTAACTGACTATGATTTTATTGGCATACTCATGAACGTTATTTGTCATTTTATAGCGCTGCACCTATTTATTTATTTTATGTCTTTTGAAGGTTTTTATTATTGGTTGCCTTTGGTGTTCTAGCTGCTTAACAGAGAGCGCTCGCTTCTTTTTCTACTATTTTTTGACAAAAGAAAACCTGGAAGCTGATTGGTTTCTGTGCAGAGTTGCACCAAATGTGCACTCTCTAGTTTTAATAAATCAACCCTTATGTGGGTTTGGTGGATATGGCCTTTTTATGAAAAGAGCTGGCATTCATTGACTGTCATACCATGCATAATTACCTAATGTGGGGTTTTGGTAAACCTTTTGAAACACTTTTTCAGTATAGAATGTTTGGAAAGGTTTTCACTCGGTGGGGGAGATTTGCTAAAACTGGTGCAGTCATAATCTGGTGCAGGTGTGCATGGTAGCCAATCAACTAACTTCAGCTTGTTCAACTAAGCTTTGACAATAAAACCTGCAGACTAATTGGTTTCTATGTAGAGCTGCACCAATTTTCCCTCCATGCAGTTTTAATAAATATCCCCCACTGTGTGTAAACAGCAATGATCACTGCAGGTAGTCGCTGGCTCTGCAGGCAGCCATGTATAGCTGCGGCTGCTGCCGACCTTTCATTGAAATGTATAGGGCTCGTTAGCTACTCGCAGGTGGAAATACAGCTGCCGGGATCAGCAGATTCATGCCACTGTTATTTAGCACCAGTGCTAGTCGCCCTTGCAAATGTACATGGTATCTGAAGAATCTTCACTACCCTTCAGGGTGTGTTGAAATGCGTGGTCCCCTGCTGTGTGTGATGGTTCAATCCCTATGACAGTATTGTGGCCTAAGGGGTTGCTGATCAAACCACAGAAGAGAACAAGGAACCAGACCTCCAAGAAGCATCAGATACTGAAGATTCTTCAGCCATTGTGGCTCTCCATGTGAGTGAAGGTTGATAGGGCTGGTGAGTATTCTTTCCTTTTATAGGCAACGCTAATTTTTTACTTTTTAACTCCTTCCTGACAGCTGTACGCATATGTGCAGACTCTCGGTGGGTTGGCCTTATCGCCAAGAGGCCACTTATATGCATACCCAAAGAAAAAGAGAACTGTGCCGAGAACGAGCACAGTGTGCTCCCAGCAAGTTACTGGCGGCTAACAGCTCCCGATCTCTACTTGCGATTGGGAGCTTTTTTGATCATGTGACCACTATGACAGCCAATCACGTCGGTCACATGATCATAAACCCCATCCTGCATCCCGGCATCTGAAACTCCTTAAAGGGCTGGGAGTCGGTGACGTGAAGGGGTTAATCTAGTGTCAGAATCTCTTTTTAAAATATACAGTCAGGTCCATAAATATTGGGACATCGACACAATTCTAACATTTTTGCTCTATACACCACCACAATGGATTTGAAATGAAACAAACAAGATGTGCTTTAACTGCAGACTGTCAGCTTTAATTTGAGGGTATTTACATCCAAATCAGGTGAACGATGTAGGAATTACAACAGTTTGCATATGTGCCTCCCACTTGTTAAGGGACCAAAAGTAATGGGACAGAATAATAATCATAAATCAAACTTTCACTTTTTAATACTTGGTTGCAAATCCTTTGCAGTCAATTACAGCCTGAAGTCTGGAACACATAGACATCACCAGACGCTGGGTTTCATCCCTGGTGATGCTCTGCTAGGCCTCTACTGCAACTGTCTTCAGTTCCTGCTTGTTCTTGGGGCATTTTCCCTTCAGGTTTATCTTCAGCAAGTAAAAAATGCATGCTCAATCGGATTCAGGTCAGGTGATTGACTTGGCCATTGCATAACATTCCACTTCTTTCCCTTAAAAAACTCTTTGGTTGCTTTTGCAGTATGCTTTGGGTCATTGTCCATCTGCACTGTGAAGCGGCGTCCAATGAGTTCTGAAGCATTTGGCTGAATATGAGTAGATAATATTGCCCGAAACACTTCAGAATTCATACTGCTGCTTTTGTCAGCAGTCACATCATCAATAAATACAAGAGAACCAGTTCCATTGGCAGCCATACATGCCCACGCCATGACACTACCACCACCATGCTTCACTGATGAGGTGGTATGCTTAGGATCATGAGCAGTTCCTTTCCTTCTCCATACTCTTCTCTTCCCATCACTCTGGTATAAGTTGATCTCGGTCTCATCTGTCCATAGGATGTTGTTCCAGAACTGTGAAGGCTTTTTTTAGATGTCGTTTGGCAAACTCTAATCTGGCCTTCCTGATTTTGAGGCTCACCAATGGTTTCCATCTTGTGGTGAACCCTCTGTATTCACTCTGAAGTCTTCTCTTGATTGTTGACTTTGACACACATACACCTACCTCCTGGAGAGTGTTCTTGATCTGGCCAACTGTTGTGAAGGGTGTTTTCTTCACCAGGGAAAGAATTCTTCGGTCATCCGCCACAGTTGTTTTCCGTGGTCTTCCGGGTCTTTTGGTGTTGCTGAGCTCACCGGTGCGTTCCTTCTTTTTAAGAATGTTCCAAACAGTTGTTTTGGCCACGCCTAATGTTTTTGCTATCTCTCTGATGGGTTTTTTTGTTTTTTCAGCCTAATGATGGCTTGCTTCACTGATAGTGACAGCTCTTTGGATCTCATCTTGAGTGTTGACAGCAACAGATTCCAAATGCAAATAGCACTCTTGAAATGAACTCTGGACCTTTTATCTGCTCATTGTAATTGGGATAATGAGGGAATAACACACACCTGGCCATGGAACAGTTGAGAAGCCAATTGTCCCATTACTTTTGGTCCCTTAACAAGTGGGAGGCACATATGCAAACTGTTGTAATTCCTACACCGTTCACCTGATTTAGATGTAAATACCCACAAATTAAAGCTGACAGTCTGCAGTTAAAGCACATCTTGTTCGTTTCATTTCAAATCCATTGTGGTGGTGTATAGAGCCAAAAATGTTAGAATTGTGTCGATGTCCCAATATTTATGGACCTGACTGTAAGTTGTGCCTATTTGTTTTAATATTTTCTAGGGCTGATATGCTGATCTTAGCTTCGCTACCTATAAGTTACTGACCAGCAGCCAGCTAAGGCAGTAATCTGAACCTCCACTACATTGCTTCAGGTCGGTCACTAGTTAGTGAAGTCAGGATTAGGATATTAACCTCGGAACCGCTACATTCTAAAAGTCAGCAATCACAGCTCTCCTCTTCAGTCTTCAGTGATCCACTTGAAAATGAGTATTGAATGCTCCGTGTCTTTTTATGGGGACATTCTTGCCCAGAAAGTGTGTTGAAGGCAGGCTATCTCTGGACTTGTGAAATGAGCATTTTAGGCATTATTGCAAATGTATTTACTTTTGTCATATTCCCGTACACCATTACTGTCTGAATTTCAAATCTTCATAAGGGCTCAGATAGAAAGCTTCCTTCACGTTCTGCCTAAGCAGCACTGTGTGTTCCCAATGAAAGGAATGTGTATTAGAAAGTGTTTATTTTCTCCTTTTCTTTTGTCTAGGAGACCGCTAATACAACTAATGTGGGAACGGAAGATGGCTTGGAAAGCGCCTCTGGTTAGTAGAATGAGATTTATTACCAACTTATTACAACTGTCTGATTTAGTTTACTATGACTGACAACCAGTAGTGTTTTTTTTTGCCAGAAGTAAGGGAGTTTAAGTGCCCTAGAATTTTTCTTATTTTTTTTTTATATAGATTGTATATGCAGCATTATTATTGTCAAGATCTCTTGAAGAAACCAACTGAAATTATTCAGCCAATCCTACTGCTTTCTAATAGAGTATTCCCCTCTCCTAGAACTTTGTGATCCTAATTTATAGGCTGCTGTATCTTACTGTAGTCTGTCCTGTTCCTTTCCCAATGCTTCTGGCATATGAATTCATTGCCTGCACAGATCTGGCAAGCAAAGATAAGCTATGTAAATGTGTGTTAATCCTAAACAATCTGAGTGTTTTCAGATTTTGCTGAGGTCATTTAGCCATGACATAGAAATGAATCTCCATTCAGCAAATTCCAGCTAACAGTATCCTTGGCTTTCATTACAGTGCTGCAGCACAAGAAAGGGAAATCCAAGGGAAAAAACTGTGAATCGAATGAAAAAATAAAGTGAGTAGAAATGTGTGAAGAAGGTTATTCTGTGCAGTTAGCAAAAAACTTTACAAGTTGGATTTATCAACTTGGAAGCAAATGGGGCTAGGTGGAAACTCATTATTGTTCCCCTTTGAAAGGTTCTTATTTGTGCTGCTTGCCCTTTAGCCATGGTATTAGGTACTTGACTTGATGAGTGGCACCGTTTGAAAACCCGATAAAAGTAGGATGTTACACATGTAGAAGGTAATCAAAGGTTGCTACGGCTTTTCCTTACTTTTCATTGTTTGCTTGATAAAAGGACCCTGTGAGACCCCCAAATTTTTCAACATGCTACTTTACAATAGAATGTCTTGGAATGTTGGTGAGTTTGTGCATCTGTTTTTCTTAACCACTTGCCCTCCTGAGGATTTACTCCCTACCTATCCAGGCCATTTTTTTGCATTACAGCGCTGCGTTACTTTAACTGACAATTCCGCGGTCATGCAACACTGCACTCAAATGAAATGTATGTCCTTTTTTCCCCACGAATTGAGCATTCTTTTGATGGTATTTGATTGCCTATGCGTTTTTTAATTTTTTGCGCTATACAAAAAAAAAGACCAACCATTTTGAGAATAAAACAATATTTTTGAATTTTTGCTATTTAAACATGTCCAGTTAAAAATCAAATTTTGTCAAATTTAGGACAAAATGTATTTTACTACATGTGTTTGCCAAAACAAATCCCAATATGTGTGAATTAATTGGTTTACGTGAAAGTTACAGCATTTACAAATGGCGGTATATGTACTGGGGTTTTTTTTTTTTTTTTTTTAACTTTTACTAGTAATGGCAGCGATCAGCGACTTATAGCGGGACTGCGGCTGACATTCTGACACTGGGGGGAACTGACTTGGTGTCACTGACATCCCCAGTGACACCAATACAGTGATCAGTGCTAAAAAAAAAAGCACTGACACTATACTAATGGCAATGGGAAGAAGGGGTTATCATGAGGGGCAATCAAAGGGTTAACTGTGTGCTGGGTGTGTTTTTACTATGGGGCGGTGTCTGTGTGCTTTACTGTTAAGCACACTGCTTTGGATGGCTAGCAGTGTGCCCTGGCTGACAGGGAGGTGAACTGTTAGTAAACAAAACAGTTCTCCTACCCGTCGGAGATCCTCAGTAATCACCAGGCGCTGGCGAGTAGTGACCAACTGGAACCTGAATGGCAGCGCGGGTAGGGTGCGCACGCCCCCTACCCAGAAATGCAAATCACATATATACGTGATTTTGCGCACCTGTGCCTCCCTGTAACAGTATTTCTGCTATAGGGAGGTCAGGAAGCGGTTAACTACTTGCCCGCCCGTCCACAGTAGCTTTACTGCGGGCCAGTGGCACAGCCCCACAGGACAACAAACTGGTATGTCTCTGGGGATTTCCAGGTTTGCATGTGCAAGCAAGTTTGTCAGCAGGTGCGGGCCTATGATTTTCAGCTGGGACCTGCTGATTGGCTGTAGCCAATCACAGAACAATCCTGTCCCATTTGTAAACATAGACCCTTTTCGGTTAAGGAAAAGAAGAAAGCTTGTTCACAGTAGGTTAAAACCGCACACTTTCACTTGCACACATTTAGGTACATAACCCCTTGATTCCCCTCCATTAACCCTTTTATCACCCAGCCAGTGCCATTAGGGGTCAGTTAGTGTCCCTCCCAGCAAGGGCCAGTTAGCGCTAGATTGCCCACACACTACAAGTTGCTGATCTCCACCCTTACTAGTATAGTGTCTGAGCAGATCAGTATTTTGGTCACTATCAGAACTATACTAGTGTCGAAACGATAAAAAAAGGGTGCACTGACCTAGTGCATTACTGTAAATTAATTTTTATTAAAAGTACCCAATTGCTTTTGTATAAAAGCAATTGGGTACTCTCACAAATACATGTTGTGTACCAGCATATCAAAAGATACAAACAAGACCACCTCAAAGTCCGCCATACAGTGTTAATGACATGGGAAGACCTTTAAATGTCCATAGTTGGCGAACTTATGGAGCAGTGGCAAGATCGCGTGGGACTTGGTGTCACTCTTGTTCCTAAAGGGGTACCATTTGTACATGGACAGCTTTTACTTGAGCGTGCCACTTTGACATTTGTTCATTAATGAAATTGGCTGCTGTGGCAACATGCGACCCACTGCAGGGGTTCCCTCTACAGCTCGTTTTCACTTGACTTGGAAAGGGGGAGAGAGCCTGCTTGTGGAATGGATGAACCACTCGCAGTGAAATATATCCATCCCGTCTTCCATTCTCCCAGACACGACAATCCAAATTAGCATGGCATCTGGTGTAGTTGAAAAGCCTCTCTGTGTACACAACTACAGTCTGTTTATGGGAGGCGCAGGCTTCAACAACCAAACGATGAAGCCATATTTAGTATCCCGCAAAGCTAGACACTGGTATAAAAAAGTGTCTATATTTTTATTTCAGTTGGATCTATATAATGACTTTGTAATTTACGAAGCATCTAGAAGAACTGGATCCTTCTTAAAATTTCGGGTACCCCAAACCAAAGGTCACCCCAAAAAATAGATGTGTATGCAGCAGAAACGTAATAAGACGTGACACACAACTTTTTTTTTTTTTTTGTTTTGTCCCACCTGCCCTGGCCGCTGCATCAAGGACTGCTTCCGCTGCTACCACACACTAGTGGAGTATTTGTCTAAGGTACAGCACGGCACAGTCTTTTAAGGCACACAATTCTGCACAAGAAGGGTCTTGAAATGTTAGGAGACTGTTTATCACATTTTGGGAGACCCTAAAGGCTAGAAATGTTATGGTTCTTAAAAAAAAAAAAAAAGAAAAGGAAAAAGATAAAAGGCTGTTTTATTGACTTGATGTTATTTTGTTACTACGTGTTATTGTTAACTCTTTGTTTTGCAAAAAACAACACAAACGCAGCACTGATCTATGTATTCTGACAACAGAAGGGTGTCATAAGTTAGTGCCTGCAGAGGAAGATTTCTCCATCCGCAGTTCAGCCCACTGCTCCCAAAAAGTCTCACCCATGTGGTATCCACATACTCGGGAGAAGTAGCAGAACTTGTTTTGGTGTGTAATGTGACATGTGAAAAATATCTAATTAAAGTGGCAAACGTGGCAAAAAATAAAATCTTCCATGGACTTAACATTCCTCTCAGAAAAATATTTTGGGGTGTCTACTGTACCAAAAAGGGTCATTTGGGGGGTATATGAGCTGTCCTTGCATTTTAGGGCCTCCAAAATTATGATAATCAGGAAGTGAAATGCGGAAATTATGCCTTTGCAAACCTGAAGGTGGTCATTGGTTTTCCCTCCCCTGTACACTGCTAGGCTCCCAAAAAGAAGCAGAATGTGTTTTGGGGTGTAATGCCACATATACCCATGCATATGTGAGAAAACTCATTAAAAAAAAAAAAAAAAAAAAATTAACTATATAATACATTTTTTTTTTTCTTCTAATTTTCCAAACGTGTCTCAAAAATAGTTTTTTCTTTGAGGGGTGTTTGTACTGCCATGGCATTTTAGCACCTCAAGAAATGTGATAGGCAGTCAGAAAGTAAAGGCTGCGTAAATTCCATTATATATACTATTTGTAGATGCTATAACACAAACCAGTTAATATACACTTATTGGTTTTTTTTTTTTTTTTTTTTTTTTTTTACCAAAAACGTAGCAGAATACATTTTGGCCTAAATTTATGAAAACATTTGATTTTATAGGATATTTTTTATAACTGAAAATAGAAAATATAGTTTTTTAGCATTTTTGTTTTCTTTTTTTTTTTTTCTTCAAAATGTTCGGTCTTTTTTTTTTTTTTTTTTTTTTTTTTTTATCACCACCTAGTGTTGATCAAATACCACCAAAAGAAAGTTCTATTTGTGTGAAAAAATGGATTTAAATTTCATTTGTGTAATGTGTTGCATGACCCAGTTAAAATACCACAGTGCTGAATAGCAAAAAATGCTCTGTTAATGAAGGGGGTAAAACTTCAAGTGGTTAAATGCTTAGACTTTTTTTGTGCCCTCCTATTCTTCATAGCCAAGGAAGCTGCTATCTTAGGCTTTATTTGACCTGCAGTAGCCATGGTGCTCAGCCATGTGATCAGTTATGAATCCAGCCATTTGACGGCCTGACGAATTGGCTGAGAGCATGCACAAGCAGCGGTAACCTTCACCATTCACGGCATGCCTTTAGGGTTAGTTTACAGCAGCCGCTGCAGTGCAGCTTAGCACAGTGATGTGTGGAGCTGGACAGTTTCCTTTTTTTTTTTTTTTTTTTAAATTTATTTTAATGAACTTTATTGAGATGTCAAAGACAGTACATAAAGTTCAACTGCCGGCCTTGTGGTGTGAGGCAGTGGATTGCCTCTCACAATGCCGCACTGATTACAAACTACTGCATGCAGTACTTTTTTTTTTTTTTTATCAGCGCACTGTGCCCACACACCACTGCAGTGCAGTGCAGTGATGTGACCATGGCACATAGGAGACAAGGCATTTTACTGGAATAGCCGCCCACTGCATCTTGTGTGAACCAGCCTTCAATGTAACTGATTTGTATTCAGTCATAGAATACAAAGCTTTCTCTGAATTGTTTGAAAAGCGCTCATCCCAACTAGATTTTGTTCCAGGAGTAGGATGGGAATGTCTTGTACCGCTGCTAGAACACAACGTTGTATACGTCATACTGTTTTACAGCATTCCCAGCCGCTGCATCTGTTAGTGAAGTAAATGGTTTGCTCAAATGAACTATTTAAAGTTCAGTTAAACCTAGAGTTTCAAAGGAAGTCATACTGGAGGCTTTTCTAATTGGGGCCCCTTTGTGTTTCTTTACCTATATTGAAGTGTTGGAGTTTTAACAGCCTGACAGCAAAATCAAAGAACCTAAATAATTGCATGAAATGTTTCCAAGTGTCTGACTTCACTATGCTATTTTCCATGCTATATGGTAACTCTGTTGTTGTTTTTTTGTTCCCTTTGCATTTACTTCAGGGCTGTAAATACAAAAAATGACTCCAAGGAAGCCCAGAAGATTTTATCTCCTCCCCACACACAGGTAGTTTGGGATATTTTGTATGAGTTGTTGTGCTAATGCTCCAAAGGCCGTTTGCCTTTTTATAGTGGAACTCCAGTTTTTGTTTTTTGTTTTTTTTTTTTTCCCAAATGCTCTCTGGTATTTGAGAAAATATTTTTGTTTTTGTTTTGTTTTTTTACAATACTTGCCTTCAATCTGGAGCTGTACTTTTCCCCCTGTAGATGTTGCCAGTCTTCTGGACAGCCTTAGTCATTGCCATACTCTTCATATTCATTCTTTGTCAAAAACATTTTCAGCAAACCAAGCCTAAACTCTGATGGGTATGTGAGGTTTTGCTGTAAGCTGAAAATTGGCCTTGGCAGGAAGGGGGTAAAAATACTCAGTATTGAAGTGGTTGACATATGCATTCTTTGACTTAATCCATATCAGAATATGTTAGGCTTTATAATCAGAAACTGCAGTACTGTCTGCATGCTTGTTAGCAGCCTGTGTCTTTTCTGCACGCAGCTTCTTTCTGTAGTATTCATATCTGAAATTCTAAGGCCACAACATCTTTAAAGAATGGAGAAACGTATGGTTGTAAAATTATGCATTGACTGTTTACATTTTTGGGTATCTTTTGTAGATGGATCTGACCTTGGTAGCGGATATGGTGAAGTCTCTTGTGCGTGATGCTCAAGAAGCTCTATCTGACCAGCGATGCCACAGCGCTGAGGGAATGCTCTCCCAGGTGCTAGAAATATTGAGCCAGCACGATATCCAGGTAAAACACCATCAATGCCATTTTTCTTCCTCCCACTAAGAAGAATTTTTTGTGACATTACTTTTATTTCTCATGAGAATGAATTTGAATTGAAAGCTAAACTTCAGGCAAACATCTCAGGGATGCAGAATGGTCAGTGCCCATGCAGCTGGTCCAGCTGTCCAGGGATTTTAAAGCCCCGCTCTTCCCCTTCTTTTATGTGCAGTGCTTTTGGGACTGCACACACAAGGTTTTTTTCACCTTTAATGGACAGCATGCAACAAGGTAAAAAAAAAGCACTTCCATTTTTAGAACCACTTTAATATACAAGTGCTACTTTTGCCAAATAGATGATGATGAGGAAAAAAATATAAATCTCATTTGGGTACGTTGTTGCATGACTACGCAATTGTCATTCATAGTATGACAGTGCTAAAAGCTGAAAATTGGCTCAGGCTGAAAGTGCCCAGTAGGCAAGTGGTTAATGAGGAGGAGAGGAGTGTACAGGAAGGGGGTGCGTCTGATCCTTTTTTCAGGGGAAAGAGGGGCAATGGGAAAGGAGAGGGAAAAATTAGAGACTAGAACCTCTAAGTCAGATGCCAGGATATGTTGACCCCATTGTATGGCTCTGAGTGGTCCTAGCTGAAGGCAGTTAGGACCACTCAGGACCATACAATGGGGTCAACATCCAAGCCCTAAGAATCTATGCAGACCAAATCTTCCCGGAGGAGGGTCCTCAAATGCATTCAGAAGCAATAGTTTGAGATCTAGTCCAAGAGTCAACTCACACACAATAATGAGTTTAGACACAACCTCTGTCCAATATGACTGGAGCGAAGGGCAAGACCAAACTATATGTAAAATGGAGGCCTCAGACATTTGACAATGAGAGCAGATGGAAGAAGCGGAGGGATAGATGGTAGCCAAGCACTGAAGGGTATAGTAGACCTTGTGGAGAAATTTAAGCTGGAGAAACCTATCCTTAGAAAAGATCATGGCAACAACCTAGTCTTCCCACTCGTCTTCCTCAAGATCAGGGATATCCGCATGCCATTTCCAGTATACCTGGTCAATAGGCCAAAGATTGGAAAAGCTATAAGGAGAATAAAGGCTTATCCAACGTTCTAGAATCAGATTCCACCATAAGTTGAGAGGGGAACTTGGCATGACAGAGTTGCAGGTATATAAAGAACATCCAATTAGGTTAAAGAAAGCTCGAGAAAAGTCCTAAAACGACCCCCAGCAACTATTACTCCTCTAGTGGCCCATACTCGTGGGTCAGGAATAGTCTGAAAGTGAGGGAGAGTCTAATTATCCCACAACGGAGTGTGCGGTGAAAAGACCTCAGGTGAGTGGAATTTAATTCTAGCTTTGTTCCAGACTAGGATATTCACTCTCCTCAACCCAGTAAGTGCAAGGTGAGCCCACAGGCCTTGAAATACAAGGTTACCAAGTCAACTATGGCAATTTCCATGGTAACAGCAGGATTATCTGCGAAAACCAGCATCTAACTGTGACAAGCACAGCCGCCCAACAATAGAGTTGAAAGTTAGGGTGGGATAGCCCACCCTGACCAAGAAGAAGCTGCAGAGTTGACAAATGCCAGCTGCAGAACTCTCCCCACCCAAAGAAAGTTAACAAAGACAACAACATCCAACTTTGTGAAGAAGGATTTCAGCAAGGAAATCAGGCAGTGTCTAAATTGTAGAAATGTAGGTAAAAATACAGTCTTAACGGTCGGGTTTCGGATTCCTTCCCCCTTTCATGAGGTATGTGTCAGGGTTGCCCCCTATCTCCCCTGTTGTATGCTCTGGCAGTAGAGCCCTTGGCCATAGCTATACGATTACATCCTGATATTCATGGTTTGTGCTCTGGCCTGTTGGCCGAGACGGTGAGTTTATATGCAGATGACATGCTTTTCTTTTGTATCTGGAGGATGCGAGCCCTTCACTTGGGGCTGCCCTTGCCCTTATAGAGGATTTTGGATGTTTTCAGGGCTTCAAATAAATTGGGGAAAATCCCAGATTCTCCCTCTGGATTTTGGTGCCTCTACTAAGGAACAGGCCAATCTTCCTTTTGTTAGTCAGCAAAAATTACCTATCTTGGGATTGTGATTTCTCATGATGCTGGGGATTATCTCTGACTTAATTTAGAACCCCTTTATCCTCTGTTGAAGTCCAAATTGCAGACCTGGTCTCCTCTCCCTCTTGGGGTAATGAGATGGGTTAATTTGATCAAGATGGGGCTCCTTCTTAAACTTCTTTATATTCTTTGGCATGCATCTGTATATTTACCGTTGCAGGTATTTAAATCCCTTGATGCTATGCTTAATTCTTTTGTATGGGGCAATACTCTGCACACATTGTGATGGCGTGCTCTTAAAAATCCCACGCATCAGGGGGGTACCACGCTCCCGGGTATTAATCTTTATTATTTGGCAGCCCAATTGTCTAATTTTTTTCACTTGGATAAGGGGTATAGGGATAGATACCTGGCATTGGTGTGTGCCCCGTTTTTTTTTGGGTTGTTCATCCCTCCCAATTATTATTGCGGGATGTGGGGGGCCAGAGGGGATTATTGTATCACCATTGTAAGATTTGTTCGCTGGCCTCTAGCAGGTTGCAGCATCCACACCAATACCCCCTTGTGGGATAACCCAGACCTCCCTGATTTTAGATTATGGATCAGTAGGGGGATTTTGTATGTCTTCCAGGTGTTCACCAGTGCGGGTGTCAAATCATTTCAGGACCTCAAAAGGGAATATGATCTTACCAATTTTATGGGGGGTTTTTTTTGCTATCTCCAGCTCCGCCATGCTCTGCGTTCCCAGTTTGGAGACTTTGTTTTACAATCCAACTCGAATTGTCTTCTGGATGTGATTTTGGGTGTGGAATTCAAGAAACTTACATCCACATTCTATAATGCTCTACTTTCACCTTCTGCATCATTATTGGCATACCGCCTTAAAACCCGCTGGGAGGTGGATGTGGGGGAGCTGGATGATGAAATGTGGGAAGAGGTGTTGGTCTTCGATTAAGGTGGTCTTTCCGAAGTTGTCAGACTGCCTCACTAAGCTATATATTATACATAGAACGTATTTGACACCAATTCGATTTTCTTAACACAGGCCGCACTATAGCCCACTTTGCCCTAAATGTGGGGACCCTGACAGTACTTTCTTTCATTCTCCTCTGACTACATGAGTGAGAAAATCTACAAATGTTGATGTCAGTTCCTCCACCTGGCATAAACCCAGTCTGGTCTGCATCCGCCCTAATGACTGTATTCAAATAATTAGATAAGACCTTAGCAAGGATATTCGCATCTGCGTTGGGAAAGGAAATAGGTCTGTAAGACGAACAAAGATCCAGGTTCCTGCCAGATTAAAAAGAACTACCATTAAGGCCTCCCTTATGGTGCGAGGCAGTGAACCGGACTCCTAGGCACTCAGGAGGACCTTATGAAAGACTGGGTGCAATTCCTCAGCATATGTTTTGAAGAATTTAGCGGGAAATCTATCCGAGCCAGGGGTTTTCCCAAACTGAAGGGCAATTGTAACAATTTGCAACTCCTCCAAGATATGCTTATCTCTATATGTAGAAGTCAGCTGGGGCAGGTCAATAGCCAATGTACCAACTGAGTTATTGAGTTATGTTGGTAAACAGATTAATTTGCTTTTTTCCCCTGTAAGCTTTTTAAAATACTAAAGATTCCACCTTCCTTGGCAAATTGAGGGTTGCAATGATTTTAAATGTAGTTAAAGGGGTCCTGCTCCTTTCTTAGTCTAAAGCTGAAGTTTAACTTCAACATATCAGAGATGCCATTGCCTGGGCCACACAGATCATATCCCAATAATGAACATATACTGGAGCTGTGTACTGAGCGTCCTCAGACTGCATGCATACGGCACACTTCCTGGTTTCATCTTCCCCTTACTGTTGTAAGTCTGATGAGAAGCACAGAGATCTGTGCTGCAGTTAGACTAAATGTGGGAGAAAGAGTTAAACACTTCCTGTTTTATGTTTTTCAATGATTCTTGTAAATCAGCATATTTTCTCCCTCACAGCTAAAACTAATTTAATCAATACTGAAATGTTTATTCAAGCCAATGAAGCTGCGGTTATGATAACCTGTTTGCTGATATTACTAATGCTGATCTAGCTTTAAATGCTGAACTTTGATTTCTACGAGTTTTAGAAATTCGCCTAGCTTGCAAGATATGAACAATGATTAGAATGAGATCATTATGAAGAGTATCCTTAGTTGTAATGTTTTGATTGGTTGAAGTGTCATTGGTTGTTATATTCTGATTGGATGGAGGGACATCCCTCCCTTAGTACCGGTTTGTATTTAGTCCCAACTCACGCTACCATTAAATGAACGCACTTAGAGTCTGTCTGTGTCCTGGTCTTTATTGTGTGTCCCCAAAGCGCTTTGATTGGGGTCTCACAGATCATCCTAGGAACAAACATAGTTAACCCTTTGCTATCACTTAAAGATGCAGACTTCCCTCATCATGGGACCAGTGGATCAGGAAATATTATTATTATTTTATTATTATACAGGATTTATATAGCGCCAACAGTTTGCTCAGTGCTTTACAATATAACGGGAGACAATACAGTAACAATACAGTTCAATACAAGAAGGATTTGAGAGCCCTGATCCTGGGAGCTTACAATCTAAGAGGGAGGGGCTAGTGGTACAAAAGGTAGTAACTGTGGGGGATGGACTGGTTGGAAGAGTAGAAGATTCCAGTATTAGCTGGAGGCGGGATAGGCTTCCCTGAAGAGAGCGGTTTTCAGAGATCGCCTAAAAGTGAGCAGAGTAGGCGATTAGTCTGATAAATTGGGGTAGAGAGTTCCAGAGGATGGGGGACACTCTGGAGAAGGCCTAGAGAAGAGCATGGGAGGAGGAGACAAGGGAGCTAGAGAGTAGGAGGTCTTGTGAGGAGCGGAGAGTACGGTTTAGGTGATATTTAGAGACAAGATCGGTGATGTAATTTATATAAAATGTGTTTTATCCTGTATACAAAGCCTAAAAACAAGCAGTCACTGATGCCTAGAGTCTTACACCTTGTGAAGCTAACATCCGGTATCCATTTGAAGTTGCATATACGAAGAATGCTAGTAATTCCATGCGGTGTTTCAGTCACCGTGTACACCAAATACTTTAATCATCTAGTTCAAAGGTGCTCAACCAGTGGCCCACGAACCACACGTGGCCTGCGGTGCCCTCTGTGGACCGCAGCCTCCTGCTTTGAGAGAGTCATCCCAGAGCATCCCAGAGTGGAAGGAGCCAGCACCAGGGGAAGCAAGTGGCTGCGGAGGGTGCAGGAGCCGGCTCAATGTAGGAGTTTTGGTGCACTTCCAAAAAGTGGACTGCACTGCAAGATACAATAGAAGTCTTTTGCATGGTGCAGCTAACCTACAGGAAAGCCACAGGTGCACTGCACTGCAACCCCGGTGTAGCGCATCAGTGTGAAAGCAACCTTATCGGGACAGTAAGGACTTGTAAATTTACATTTGCAGTTTGGGGGGAGGTAAAACACCATTGTTGGAATGTGTTCACAATGGACCCTTGCCTCATGCTCCAGGGGACCCTTGTGGCCTCCTTGTCACATTCCATTTTACACTTGGAGGAGGGGTGGCATATACAGGCACCAATCCTCTTCATTTTCCTTTTTCAGCCCCTGAAATCTGGCTTCTCCTCCTCTCCCTCCCACAAACATTCAGGGGCTGCAGGAGGGAAATGTTCATTATGCTATTCCAAATTTAAAAAAAATTCTGAATCGCTTAATTTCATTGTGGCCCAAAACCAGTTACCAAATCACTTAATTGGCCCCCGCTCTTCAAAAGGTTGAGCACCCCTGATCTAGGTCAACATGTAAAACATAGTAGAATGTATCTTTTCCAAGTACTTTATATTTATACTTGATTCAAGGATTTGAATATATATATATTTTTTTCTTTCAGAGCCTTCGCCTTACTAAGATAGATCATGTTATTCTCATATATGGACATGCAAATGCTCTACTTGGCATTAGGAAATGTGTGGTAAGTTATGTAAATAATTCAAGCAGCTGTAATGGAAAGTTACAGAATCAAATTTAACAAATGCATTTCTGTCAATTATGGCCAGAAGGCTGTTGGCACCTGATCTTCATACTTACTGTATAGCCAAACATATGTGGACAACCCCATATTTTTGAGATCACGTGTTTCCAGCAAATGGTACTGTTAATTCTACGACCTATGAAGACATTTTAGCAAATGGTGTGCTTCCAGCGTGGTGGTAAAAATTTGGGAAAGGCCCTTTTCTGTTCTAGCATAACTGTGCAATGCAAGCTTCATTTTGATGTGGAGAAACTAAAGTGGCCTGCACAATCCTCAACCCTACTGAACATCTTTTAGGATGAATTCAAATGCTGGTTACAAGCCAGGTCTTCTCATCCAACATCTGTACCTGTGCTTACAAATGCTCTTTTGGCTGAATGGGCCCAAATTCTCAAAGACAGACACCACAATCTTGTGAAAAGCCTTCCCAGAAGAGCAGAGGCTGATCACTATGGGGGAAAACTAACTGATTTTGGAATGCGATGTTCATATAGATACGACAATCAGGTGTTCACAAACGTTTGGCCATTAATACAGAGATAAAGAGATTATGGTATACAAATACTCAATATACTCAATATATTAGTCATTTATATTTTTATGACTGAATATGTCCAGTCTGATCCAGTTTAATACACCTCTGCTGCAACAGGGCTTTACTAGGGCCTAATTCACACTGGCACTGTCAAACCTGTCTTTTTATGTGTGTTTAGGGGACATTTCTAAAAGCCTATAAATACATGTAATGATTTTTTAACGATATCAATCACGCTGTGTTCGTGATTGCACTGGAGAGCCCGGTAAATTTTTTTTAAATTAAAAGTAATGGCCACGATCAGCGACTTATAGCAGTACTGTGGCGGGCGTTCTGACACTGGAGGGAACTGACTTGGTGTCACTGACATCCCCAGTGACACCAATACAGTGATCAGTGCTAAAAAAGAAAAAAAAGCACTGACACTGTACTAATGGCACTGGGCAGGAAGGGGTTAAATGAGCGATCAAAGGGTTAACTGTGTGCTGTTACACAGTAAGCTCTGTGTGTGTGGTACACTGTAATCACACTGCTTTGGATGGCTGTGCTGTGCTGGAGATCCTTGGCAATCACTGGGCGCCGGCGAGTAATCACCGGCTGGGACCTGGTGATTGACGGCTGCGTAAATGTGAAATCGCGTATATAAACGTGATTTTGTGTACCCGTGCTGCCCTGTAGCAGTATATCTGCTATAGGGCGGTCGGGAAGCAGTTAAAACAGTGAACAGTCAAAGCATCTCACATTTCCTATACATGTCCAACATGTCAAAGTATACAACAAACTGAATGAATGCACTCCAATTACAAAAAGAAAAAAGGGGGGGGGACTATACATTACTAAACATAGGTGGAAATACCTCACTCAAGATAATGGATCTATAGGGAACAAAGGGGATTGGAAAGCCATCTGTCCCATATTTTGTGGAATACTTTGGATGTTTTCCTGAGCTGAAAAGTAAGTTTATACAGGTAAAGGGAATCATTAACAATTTTAAGCCACGAAGCCACCATGAGTCGACTCGATCCCTTCAAGACAACAATCATTTTTTTTAGCATAGAAATATAATATCCGTAGTAATCTTTTAGTGTATTGCGAAAGTATGAGATCCCCAAAAATACCTAAGAGACAATTCTTGGGATGTAAGACATTAGATAGGCCCATTGTGGAGGATATAAAAGAGCACACCTTCCCCCAGAATGCCCTGACTGTCAGACAGATTGATTTAGTTTTAGATCTGGACATTTATGCCCACCTTATGTATATACCACATTTTATTTAAATACCACATAGTTTAACAGTTTTCCCCTTTTTTTTTTTTTTTTTTTTTTTTTTTTTTTTTTTTTTTTCATTTTTACCCATAAAAATCTTGTTACCACCAGAATTATCGAAAAAAGTTTCCAACCCTGTTTTAGTTGCTGGCAGAGGGTATAATGGATGGTTTTTCAGGTCAGCTAGCAAGTATAAAGTATATCCAGAGACACAATTTTATTAACAAGGGTTAAGACTGTCAGACAGTGTCTCTATCTTTGTAAAGTGGGGGTAGTGATATCTTAAACAGTTGTCAACTGACACAAGGGTCCCCATTGGATGATTTCCTCTTGCAGTGACAGCTTGGAATTTTATGTTTTCCATCACCTTTGGTCCCAGTGATAATGGTCACCATAGAAGAGGTAAAAATCTCCCCAGCTTAGGCACAGTCTGCAATAAAAATAGCTCAGCACTGTCTTTAATTGCTTCCCTGCTGCCCTGTAGCAGAAATACTGCTACAGGGCGGCAGGGGTGCGCAAAATCAAGTGTACATATACCTGATTTTGTAATTCCGGGTAGGGGGCATGCACGGCCGGGCTGTCAATCAACGGGTCCCGACTGGTGATTACCGAGGATGTCCGACGGGGAGGAGGGCTGCTATGTTTACTAACAGTCGTCCTCCCTGTTGGCTTGGGCAAACTGCTCTGGATGACAGCACAGCCATCCAGAGCAGTGTTCTTACAGTGAAGCACCAACACTCCGCCCTCCAGTAAAACACTCCCAACACATAGTTAACCTTTTGATCGCCCCTCATGTTTACCCTTCCTGCCCACTGATCACTGTATTGGTTTCACTGGGGATGTCTGTGACACCAAGTCAGTTGCCCCCAGTGTCAGAATGCCCACTGCAGCCCCGCTATAAGTCGCTGAATGCTGCCATTACTAGTAAAAAAAAAAAAAAAAAAAAAAACACAAATTCCAGTATATACAGTATAGTGGTGGCCACACAAAATATTGACACTTTGGGCCCAATTTGGACATTGTCACTTAGGGGTGGACTCACTTTTGTTGCCAGTGATTTAGACATTAATGGCTGTGTGTTGAGTTATTTTGAGGGGACAGCAAATTTACATGTTATACAAGCTGTACACTGACTACGTCACATTGTAGCAAAGTGTCATTTCTTCAGTGTTGTCACATGAAAAGATAGAATAAACTATTTCCAAAAATGTGAGGGGTGGACTCACTTCTGTGAGATACTGTATACCGTCATTTGTAAACGCTAGAACTTTCACGTAAACCAATTAATTTTACACGTATTGGGATTTTATTTTTAGCAAAGACATATAGCAAAATACATTATGGCCTAAATGTATAACAAAATTTGATATTTTTTTTTTTTTACTGGACATGTTTAATAGCAAAATGTAAAAAAAAAAAAAAAAATTCTCAATTGTCGGTCTTTCTTATGTATAAAAATACCACCGAAACAAAGCTCAGTTAGTGGGGAAAAAAGGACGTAAATTTAATTTGGGTGCAGCGTTGCATGACCACGCAATTGTCAGTTAAAGTAACGCAGCGCTGTAACACAAAAAAATGGCCTGATCAGGAAGGGGGGTAAACCCTCAGGAGGGCAAGTGGTTAACCTCTTTCCATTCTATTAAAAATTACAAAAATATGCAATTTTCTATTTGCTAATATCTACTTATTTGTTATCTTTAGGAATTGGAAAGGGCTGAAAGACGCTTAAAGGAAATTATCCAACAGCACTCTAAAGAAAGGTTTAACTGTTTGGCTTTCTATTGCATCGGTAACGTTTATCTCAAGCAAAATCGGTAAGAAAAAAAGTTTGTTGATTTTTTTTTTTTTTTTTAAATTCAGGATAGCATTTCTAAACAGCAGATATTGTTACAGCCAGGGGCTTATTTAGGTATAGTGTTGTCCTGAGAACCCCTGAATGATTTAGTTTCTGGATAAGTTCCACACATGTACATATTGATGATCAATGAGGGGATTTACTAAAGCTGGTTCACTCAGATTTTGGTGCAGTTATGCATTTTAGCCAATCAGCTTATAACCTCAGCTCGTTCAATTAAGCTTTGGCAATAAAACCTAGAGGCTGATTGGTTTCTATGCAGAAGTGAACCTGATTCTGCTCTCTCCAGCTTCAGTAAATAAACCCCGGGGTGTTACATATCCATGAACCTCACAGGACTCTCAGTTCACTTGAAGGTAAAATTATAGTCAGGTGTTTCAAATATTGGCAGCAGAATTCAGTAGCACAGTGGGAGTGGTTCCTTCATCCACATAGAGTGTGTGAATGGGTTCTCTTTTTTTTTTTTTTTTTTTTTTTTCAACTGACTGGTTGACTGAAACAAAATGATCAATTTATGGGCTGCCTTAGCAATTAAAACAGTGTTTTAGAGGTGTGTTAAATCATTAAAGTTTAACGTTCATATTTAGTTATACCACTATTCAAGCTTCTGCTGGTTTAAATGTGTGCTGCTCTTACCCTGAGGCTATACGTTGCCTTATTGTAAGTTACAACATGTCTGATTTAAGAGTTTAAGGGAGTTTATCAAGTGCCCCCAGATCATATTCTGCCAACTGTTCTGGGGCTTCTTGCTGCAGACTTTCTGATGGTGCTGATATCTGCAGCCTGAAATCCTGTTACCTTGATTTTAGAGTCTCTTCCAGTCCTCATTGGCTGCATCCAGTGTGGCTGGTCCTTTTCTCTCTCAGCTGAGGTTCTTCAGTAAACGAAGCATAAGGAACGTACTGCAAAGTCTCTTCACTTGTTTGTTTAGAAACATCCCTTTCATTTTTCTATTCCCCCGACCACATGCAGGGCCTTACACTCAGTCTGCCATATCTTCATAAAAGCTCTCCTCTGCATGAAGATGTGCTCCAGCTTTCTAAAGTAGGGGATGTTTGTTAATCTTTGTGGACACTTGAGCAGATTGCATTTGAGGGTGGTGTAATCCCAGAGCTACAAACTGGAGGTTTACTTTCCTCCCACTCCTTGTTTTTTTTTTTTTTTTCACCAATTTATGTCAATACACAGATTAGTAGATCTCCATTGAGCCCTCTCCTTTGTTCCTTTTGGATCAAGATGTCAGCACCCTAGTTTCAGAGGCAAATAGTTCCAGGCATTTTAAGCCACCCTGCTCACTGCTCCCAAGCAGGAGAGTTGGGACAGATCATATATTCTGAGCAGAACCTCCTAGTCCAGTCTTGCTAATAGTACACATTCCAGATGTAGGCAATTGGAAGACAAACTTCCTGAGCCAGCAGTTCCTCAAACGAGGGAAGTGGTCCCTACACCCAAAGGGGTTCCAGGACCTCTGTTGTTGAACTAGCATACCCCCCTAGGACAAACTTGACAAGTTTGTCTCCAGGTATAGGAATCCTACAGAGGAAGCAGTGGATACTCTGGTGGCTCGGTGATGCCAATAAGTTTTGACCTTTGCCTTTCCTCCCCAGAAACTTCTCCCTTGTCTGTTTTGCAGGTTTAAACTAGAGGGTATTGAGGGTATTGCAGTATTTCTCATTACTCCAGACATGTAGTCTCACCAGGTGGTACATCAGCCTGGTAAGACTCCTAGCAGGTGCTTCATGGCCTCTACCAGGACGTCAGGATCTTCACACCAAGGACTGATTTACTGTCCTGCTTCACAGTTGCTGGCTTTAACGGTTTGACTTAAGCCCAGGTTCTGAAGGACATCTCTAAATCGGTGATTTCTATGGTGATAAATGCTGGGAAGGTCTACTCTTCACAAGGTCTGTCATTGGGCATGATAGGCATACCTAGACATCCACCTATTAAAGGAGCAGTTGGTGCAGGCTCTTTCGGACAACATGAAGTTTATTGTCCATCTGTAAAGACAATGTGGATAGATTCAGAACCTACTTATCGTCATGAAGAGTCTAGTCCTAAACACAGCTTCTTCATGCAGCTGTGTCTGGACCAGTGTCTGACTCTCAGCACTATCAAGGGTCAGGTTTCTGTGTTCTATTTGGTTTCAGAAACCATTGGCCTCTCACTCTCTGATTAAGACCTTTGTACAGCAGGTCTCCCATGTAGCTTTCCCTGTCCATTTCCCATGTGACTCAATGAGCTCTAAATCTGATTCTCTCTGCACTTAAGGATTAACTGCTTGAAATTTTCCTTCATTGTTTGGAAGTGGTTTTGTTGGTGCAAGACGATCTTTCAGCTACTGCTTTTTTCAGAAATACTGATTCCCTCTTTGCCATCCTGGATGGACCCTGAAAGACTACACAGTTTTCTCTATACATCATCTTGGACTACAGTTTGTTTGTTTGTCCGATCACCCTATAGACGGCAATATAGCCTAAAGATTTAGGACTTCCTTTTTCCCCTCAGTGGACTCCCAAGAAATAGATTTTTATGGATGGCCTAGCTCAGGGGTAGGCAACCTCTGCACTTCTGCTATAATGAAATTACAAATCCCATTATCCCTCTTCTCCTGGGGGTCATGCCTGTGGCTGTCAGTCTTGAAATGCCTCTTGGAACTTGTGGTTCTACAACAGCCAGAGTGCCAGGGTTGGCCTATCCTATGTCTAGCTCTTGGGAGCGTTGATAGTTCCGGGAGTTCTCTATGCTTTATAACATTTGCTAGTCACCAGCAGTGCATTTTTATTTAACTGTTATTAAAACACATAGAAGATTTCGGCTCCATGCACACGGGGCGTTTTAATAAAACTGTTAACGTTAGCTGTGTAAAGTCACGTTAAAAACGTGAGGTTTTTTTTTTTTAGCGGTTTTAGCTGCGTTTTTTCCGCATTTGTGGTTTTTAGCTTTTTTTTAGCATTATTTGAGGTTCAAAAAACATCTAAAAATGCTGGTTTGCAGCGGTTTACCACGTTTTTCAGCGTTGGAGCATTTTTACAGCTAAAAAGCTCCTCTAGAAACCCATTAGTTCTGGGTTTTTTTCCAGCCAAAAAAAGTTGATTACAGTCTATGTGTACATGAACACATAGGATATCATGCTGGGGGGTTTACTAGCTGTAGGAAAAATCGTCAAAAGCCAAAAACAGCCGCTGTAAAAACGTCCCGTGTGCTTGAGGACTTCTTGATGAACTGCTCATTTTTCCATTTTCTTATTAAATGCTTTGTTTCTGCTAGGTTTTCTGATGCTTTGAATCAATATGTGAGGTCTAAGACCATGCTGATGCACAAGATGGTTCCAGGAGTGCTAACCTGGCCAACAACATCTATTGTCATTGAAGAGACCAGGCCAGAAAAATTACAGGTAAGTAACCAATTACTAGCCTAATCAATTTAGTAAACTTTGTAAATGTAATATCCTTTTAACTGCACCCATGTCTTTTCTCCATGCAGTTACCTAAAACAGCCAGTAAACTTACACTTCACGCCCTTTGACCACACGGGTTACTGCCTGTAATACCCCTTCATTACCAAGCAATTTTTTAGGTTTCAGTGCTGTGACAGTTTGACCGACAGCTACTCTGTTATGCAACATTGTACCCAGGTGAGGGCAGCATAGTGGCTAAATGGTTAGCATTTTCGCCTGGCAGTACTAGGGTCGTGGGTTCGAATCCCAACCACGGCACCACCTGCCTGGAGTTTGCATGTTCTCCCTGTGCCTGCGTGGGTTTCCTCCGGGTACTCCGGTTTCCTCCCACACTCCAAAGACATGCTGGTAGGTGAATTGGCTCCTGTCTGAAGTGGCCCTACTATGTGTACGTATGAATGTGAGTTAGGGACCTTAGACTGTACGCCCCTTGAGAGATAGGGACTGATGTGAATGTACAATATATATGTTAAGCACTGAAATTGATGGCGCTATATAAGTACCTGAAATAAACAGTTTTTGAGACAGCTCTATCTTTGGTTGGTATTTTAACAACTCCAGGCTTTTCTATTTTTTACTTTAAAACATCAAAAAGACGAAACATTTTGAAAAATTGGACTGTTTTCCTTATTTTCTTTTAAAATTAAAATGCAGACACCCCAAGATTATCTTTTTTGACACCATCAATTTTTTTGGAAATGAAGAAACATGCCAGTACTGAGGAGGTTAAACACGGAGCTTGAGAATGTTGCACTAGATACGTTAGTTTACAGTTCATACACAGAAGGAGAATTTGAAGGGGTTACATTCATTGGCAGGATGTTGATGAAGGGGTTCATATTCAGATGGTCAGGATAAGGGAGGTGAGGGGTTAATTCACAGCTCACATGGCGAGTACATTGGAGCATAGGAGAAGGGGGGCCTGAAAGGGTTTTAAAAAAAAATTCCTGTGTTTCTGCTACAGAATGAATGGAGCAGCAGCTGCCAGATCCATTCATTCTGTGCTTTTTCATAAGTACTGATCTCTTTCCCCTGTTGTAAGGAGAAGGGATCCGCACTGTAAATAGTACCATGTGATCGCTGTGATGACCAGTCACAGTGATCCCATGGTACTCATCTCCTTGGATTGGCTGGGTACACAGCAATCACCTACTGGATCAGCCCCTGACAGCTATTTATCCTGTGCCGTTAATAAACAGCACTGGGTAAATAAAGGGTAAAATAAATAAATAAATGTTCATTGGTACAAAAGTGGTTAAACAAAATATAAAGTAAGTTTTTGAAAAAATAAAAAGGAATTTGAACTAACCATCAAACCCACCTCTCATGGCTCTCATAAGGTCTTTGTCAGTTCTGTAACACATTACAATCTGTAAAATCTCCTTCTAGGCTTATAAAAATTATTATGTAATACTTTACAATCAATGTGTTTTCAGGTCCCTGTACTACATAGTAGTTTGTAGATCCAAGCAGATTGTGCAGTCATATTGTAGCTTGTTGAGCTTAGTACATAGCATGACCTTTTCCCAACATTCCACCCAACTTGAACATTAACATATCCCCAATACACATTACAAGGAATGCTTTTCTTATGGAAGCTTAAGTGTTTCTGTATACTATACCTATGCCTTATACACTAAAAACAATATGTTTGCAACTTTCTATTAAATGCATTATAAATCTTCCTACCTGAACCTTTTATTTTTCACCTGCATGTTATGTGCATTGATCATGTACATCCATGTTTTCATTTGATGCCTGTATGCCCACCCCATAGTTGAGTGCATTTCCAAAATGTCATGTCAGCGGTTTCTGTTTGTGTTCAATCATGCAGAATGGCACTGCACAGGTTAATGCATGACCTCTGTCTGTAGTTTAAGAACTGACAGTCCCTGTGAGTAAATTTCTTAGTCCACAATCATAGTTTGATTTGATACAGGTGCAAACAAGTAGAGCAATTAACAGAGATATCCATGCCGTCTTTCATCATATTAGCACTCCTAAATTTGTGATGTAACACAGAGGAAATGGTCAGCCTTGGATTGCGCACTGTATACCCAGAGCAAAAAGTTGCTTGTCCCTTTAGCAAATAGTGACAAGCTGGATGAATGAATACATGGACATGGGGGAATCTCAGCCACAGCATAAGCGCCAATCATACAACGTATGGCAAACAAACAACACGAGGAAAATAACTACACTAACGCCTAGTTAAAACAACAAAAACATTTAAACGTGGACAGTGCCTTTGCGATATAGCTTTTGTGATCTGTGCACAAATGACATCATTTGCAAGATGCATCCTTGGGCTTTCCCAGTCTTCCACACAAATAATGTGTTGTTTGAATCATTGCTTCTGCAAATAATCAAACGTTGTTTTCCAGTCAGCCTGTAGATTTGGTTTTGTAATGTTTCTTAAGCTCTTTGTTTTTTTATTTTTACTCAGATTCTCTTGGATAACCGCATAGAGGAATGCAAATTTCCACCTAAACCCGATGCGGTTTGCCGCTTTGAGCAGTGTTTGAGTTTACCTAAAATCCAGATCTATTTTACAGACCCTGATTTCAAGGCAAGTACAGCTAATGTGTCTGACATTTCAACAGCTCTCTGACATATGATGGCAGATGCCATACACCAGGTGCATGTAGATATACCAGAAAAACCGCAGATTATAGTATTAAAGAAAAAGTAACAGGTTTTATGGCTAGGTTTAACCTGTGTCTAAACCACCATTATTTTGAAAAGCAATCTGCAACCACGATGTGTGAACTGCCATTGCAGCTTAAGGGGGGGGGGCTTTAAAAACGCAGATCAGCCACACGGTTTCAACTTCCCCGCCAACCATTAGTCTAAATGAGGCCTAAGTGAACACATTTAAGTTATTTTTTCATTGGTTACCTAAAAATAGTTTGACGTTCACTTTTTTATTTGGTACCTTTCAATATGTTGGTTTTATTAAACTAGGGAACAAATGTTGCAGGACTTCGCACAAAGTTTTCCCTAAGTCTCCCTGTAAATTCTCACAAATACCTGTTGAATAGAGAGCAGTGTTGTTCCCCTTATGTAGGCATTCTGAGTTTAGAGCCGAGATGTGCATTGTACAGCACATGTGCCTTGCAGTATGTACAGAAAAGTTTAACCTCCTTAGCGGTTTTCCCGAGTGTAGCTCGGGGTAAAATTTCAATACCAAGAGCGGTAACCCCGAGCTACACTCGGGCTTACCATGTGGCGTTGCTCAGGGGGTCCCTGCAGCACTTACCTTGTCCTTCGCTCCCGTGATGTGTCCCCTGCAGCGTCCCCGGCCATCTCCTCCGGCCAATGCCGGCATCCGGCTTCCGTGTTCCGGTCCCTGTGACGTCGAGACGTACAGGCACCGGAACCGGCGGGAAATTTGAAATTTTTAAAAAATTTCTTTTTTGCTGTCATTGCTGTTTCAATGCATTTCACATATATTTTGTCCCTACTGCTTTGTCCTGTGCCCTGCCTGCATTTTGACTGTTCTTTCTGCCTGGAAACTTAGAAAAGTCCATGGTGTCCAAAAACAGTCCCTTTTACGTCAAAAGCGGTTTTAGAACAGCGATAGTAAATCAGAACCATTTGCAGAATTGAGTGATAATGATTCGTGGGGGAAATTCGTCATCAGACACTGAAAACGATTTTGCGACTTTGCTCAGCGATGTGCGAACTTGCCTCTGTATCTCAAATTTCAGTGTTTTTGGTTTGATTATAATATTGAATTAAATGTATTATTATATTATCATTTTTTTATGATTATTAAATTATAATTTATGATTTCGTGTTTTCAAGTTTTATCATATCCGGAATGTTTACTAGACTCTCTTGTTCGGACAGATTTCAGTGCGTTATTCCTAAAAATTACAGCCTACAATAAAAAAACTACATATTTCCATGCAAAATAATGGTACTGCTTTCAGCATAAAAAATCGGAAAGAATCATACCGCCAGGGAGGTTAAAAAAAATCACTAGGAGCCCGGTTAAAGCTTTTTTTGCAAAACATACTTTGCATGTCCATTCTGCTTCAAAAAAAAAATGAACATCTAGAGAATCTTTGTTGTGGGACTTGGCTTTATTAACATTGGAGCTGATTAGCTGATGTGGGTGCTGGTAGTTTGCTTATTTTGCTTTACTTGTAGCTATACTTTGCTAAATTTGACCCATTGGTGTCTTAAAGCGCAGTCAAAAAAAAAAAAAAGTAAAATTAGTACAAGGGACATAACTTCGTAGGATGTGCCCTTTGCACCGAGACTGCTTCTGTTAGTTGAAATCCTATTCTGTCAATGCCCCCTCCTCACCTCCGCAGCTATAATCTTCTTGTGCCATAGAGGTTAACAGAACGGGCTGTTGAAGTTCTCACCGAGAGTGCCTGACTATGCCTGCTCTTTCTGCTGAGCTGCTCCATTCATACAGCTTGTGTGAATGAAACTCGATCTTTGGAGGGGGTGTACCTTTCAATCATACACCCATCCTCCATTCATAGATCCATTTCTGCACGCAGCCTGTAGTGGGTGGAACTGCACAGGCTATGTACAGCACAGTAATGATCTCACCACTTTTTTTTTTTTTTTTTTAAACTTTTGTGTATTGTTCCATATATATATATATATATATATATGTATATATATAGATATATATCATATTTTTCAGATAACCATTGAAGGGTTTTTGCTCTTGTTTTACAGGGCTTTATCCGTATGGTGTGTTGTCAGTACTGTATAGTTGAATTCCATGTTTGTTGTTGGAAGAAGTTGAAGGCCACTGCATATTCTGATAAGAATGACAAGGTAAGCTGCAGTTTTTCATGCCAAAATTTAGCAAATTTTACCCTCCAGGGATGGATGGAGGTTGGGGGGCGGGGAGTGAGTGGAGATGGGTTTTAAAGATGCTGATGTAGAAAAGGTATTGGACTACAGAAAGAACCATGTGGAGTTGTCTTCTCAGGCCTTGGGTAAGTTTTTTTTTTTTTATTTTTTTTATTTTAACTGGTGTCCTGATTGGATTCCAGCTAAGAGTTTTCCCAATCCTAACAGAATAACTCATTAGGGTCTGTGTCAAGCATAACAGTTCATTAGGGTCTATGGGGTGGAACTAAACAAAGCAAGTTTACAAACTTCCAAGATCATTCAGATTAAGAGGAGTAGGCTAGAAATAATGTTTTTTTTTTTTTTCTCCCCCCTTACACAGGATTTCCTAAGATACTCCTGTCTGACCCCAGACTGCAGAGGACTTATTTCTCATATTGTAATATATGATTCTACAGGGGAAATAAAATGTGAGGTATGTTACTATGAAATGCTAGATTCACATTGACCTTTGCTTTTACTGATTCATAAAATAATGTTTTTTTATGTTTATATTTATTTTTATTTTAAAAAATGTATGTGGTATAAACAACTGCAGCTTGTAGCACATCCCAGGTTCAGTGTCCTGAAATGTACAGGAATGTGTTTTCACACACCAAAGGTTTTAGAACCAGCAGATCATTATATTTTACTAAATTTGTTTACTACAGGTTACAGGATGTCTTGATTGCTCTTTATACTGCCTTTTTGAACAGGCATTTTAGCCATTCGCTGTCTGTTGTCTTGGTATCATATTAATTCTATCCTAACCCTGAATGTGTAAATTGCCCTCAGTCTAAGGCTGGCCATACACTATACAATTTTCTGTCCAATTTCTTCCCAATTTCCTTTAGATTTACCTTCAACTATGTAGTGCAAGGGCCTGCCTAATTGGATACAATTGAAAGTGTTGTTAGGTATGACCTCCTATTATATGGTTTTTGGTAAATCTAAACCAAAAATCTCAAGAAAATTGTATAATGTATGGCCAGCCTAATGCCTTTCACTCAGACAAGCCTTTAAAACTAAAATGACTCGGCTTAAATTATGTCATCAGTGGTAACTTCTGCTCCCTTCCCTCCAAAATAAACATGCTATTTTAGACCCAGTCTAGGTCTCTGTGCTTCGGAGATTGTGGCCAGTGTTAATTTCATTGAAAATATTTGTGCTCATCGTAAAAATCTTTTTCCTGGAGTTCATTCAGGGACACAAGTCCAACCTCTCTGTTCGATGCTGCCCTTGGTACTGCTTTGCTGTAAATCTGAGTCGTGGTGGTAGTTATGGGGGTTATCCTGGGTTGGCCTTCAGCTTTTATTTGCCAGCATCCAATCCTCCTGTAGGCAGGAGTGTAAATCAAAGGTTTAAGACTTCCTGTGTCCCTCAATTGACTCTACAAAAAGGATTTTAGGGTGAATGCGATCATTCTATTTTCACTTAGCAATGCTGTAATGTATGAATCCTCTGTCAAGGTTTTTGCTGTCTTAGCGGGTAACTTTTTGTTTCTATGAACACCAGTAGTGAGGCAGTAGTTTAAAGAAAATCTCAGAGCTTTTTTGCCCGCCCTATCTATATATAACAAAGTGTTTCCATTGTTTATAGCGCATGAACATTTATTTTACAGTGAATATATTAACTTTTTTGGTCTTAAATTTGCTTTCTAGTTTGAAGATAAAATAGTAAAGAAGAAAGAACCACATAAACCTGCTGTAAAACACAAAGGCACAAGGTAAAATCACTTCTGATGTAGTCTTTATAACCTTGTAAAAGCATAGAACTGCATGTTACCAGTGTTCATGATTTCCAAACTTCTGGAGCCTTTAAAACGTATTCACTTTTGTATTCTTGAATATAGTGCTTTTTTTAACCCTTTCGCTGCAATAGCCATTTTTGCGTGCATGCTTAAAAAATCATTTTAGGACTGAAGAGTACATAAAACTCCAAAAACATTTTCTGAAAGCAGGTACCCAAGAGAATAAAACAGTGGTAGCTCCAATTTTTTTTATGTCACATGATATTACCACAAAGGTCTGAGAAACTCTAAATTTTAGTAACAAAATACACTAAATTTAATATTAGGGCACACATAATAAATTACCCACTTTTTGGTAAAATATAAAAGACGAGGTTGCATCGAGTAAATAGATACCCAACATGTCAAACCTTAAATTTGCGTGCGCCCATGAAATGGCAGCAAACTTCAGTACCCTTTTTTTTTTGCATGCGTGACACTTTAAAAGCTCCCTATAAGTCATCAGTTTAGCGTTATGAAGGAGGTCTGGTGCTAGAAATATTGCTTAACTCCGGCGTGCGCAGCGATATGTAACGTGTATCACAATTTGGCATTTTCATGTGCATATATGTGGGGATGTAACCTCATACGTATATGTGGGGATGTAGGGCCTCAAAAAAAATTTTTTTTTTTTTTGTGCCTATGTGCTTGGGAGTAACTTAAATTATTTGCAATTTGTAAAAGATTTTTACTTACTTTTTTTTTTTCATCAAATAGGGGGAAAATAAATTCCCCCGTGTAATGATGTTTTGGTGACAGATTCTCTTTTAATGAGACATCCAGAGTCTAAAAGCCCAGAGCTTCACTGAAAGTAATGCAATGCACATTGCATTGCAATACATTATTTCCCGGCCATGCTGGCAGAGGACGCTGATGGGTGGACCTGGAAGTGACATTTTACACATCACTTATCAAGTCAGTAACGAGGGGGGGTGGAGTGGACATGTGTCTGCTCTGCTCTCTCCCATCTACCCAGTGGCACCTGTTATGTTGGTTCCAGGCCCACAGATGGGAGTGGGGTGAACCATCACCATTATCGAGGGTATTTGGAAGTAATTGGACGCCCGAATGCTTCCATCTGACTGGCAGGAGTCTGCTTGTAAGATTTACACACAATCCTGGTAGCTGCAGCCACTCGGAATGTGTGTAAAGCCTTCCTAGCCTTCCTGCTGTCAGGTCCATACAATGTATGGACCTGGCAGCGAAGGGGTTAAAGTGCCCCTGTGCAATAATTATACAATTTTTCTGCTCTAATAGGGGGAAAAAAAAGCTGCGCCTGTGTTGTGAACTTTGAATATGTATTTACGTATTCAGACTTCACAAAACCAAGTTAGTAGACGCATATCCGAAGTGAATAAAGCTGTAATTAAAGCAAAAGGTGAGCTTTTTCCAGCTCGGTGATTCTATTTTTGTATTTAAAAAAAAAAAAAAAAAAAATTCTGACATGTTGGTGTTATCTTTCACTTGGATGTTATAGGTTACACTGAGTAAATACAGTTGGATAAAACAAAAACTGTCTGTCTTCATTTCAGGCTGCAAAGGGGGGGTGATTCTTTTCTATACCCACTCTACATATTTCCTAAATGGCTATAGCTTTACTTTTCTCCTTACTATATCCTCACGTAAGCATTGTCATCCAGATCACTCCATTCCTTTATCTTTTCTATTCTATCTTGTTTCAAGTGGCAAAAAACATAAAGCTAAGCATGAAAATAAAGCAGAGCGGAAGAAAGTATTCGAGGAAGAACACCTAGATCAGCCACATAGTGGTAATAGAGGGAAACGTCTAGAGAAGATTCCGCCTGATCCAGTTGGTAAGTGGCAGTGTTGCGATTTCTAATGCTAATGTTAAAAAAGCTGTGCAGATTTGTGATCTAGAGAGATACGTGTGGGAGAACAGAGTATGTTAGGAAGTGTGGTGACTGACGTCCAATATGTTAGCCATATTTACTTATAGATTAACTTTTTTTGGGGGTGGGGAGAGAGTGTTGAGAGGGGTAAAAGAAAATACTAAAGTTACTGTGATAAATTTGCTCCTGTGAAGAGAACAGATTTGAAATCTAGTTTCCTGACTGGACAGTCTTTTGTCTCTATTCAGAGAAGATGGAGGACTAGGAATGTGACGGTCTTGCATTTAACGTGCAGATAAATCGGCCATATTTCCTTTTTGGCCTTCTACAGAACTAAATATTAAAGTTTGTAGGTAAAATAAAAAATGGCAGACTAATGTTGACAGTTCAGACAAAGCGTCTTCATAGTTTTATTCTCATACTTTTAGTTTCAAGTAACTGCCTGTATGAGGTAAGGGACAGACAGCTATGCTGATAGTCTGCAGGGGCTGGACATTGCACCTGCGATTTGCGGATCGTGGGTGCAATGCTCTGCAGGCTCCTTTAAAAAAAAAAAAAAAAAGTGCACATTTTTTTTACCTGCAAAAAATGTGCATTTATTTATTTATTTTAAGGTGAACCTACCCTTTAAATGTAAGGCAGACCTGTTATCTCAAGTTCTTTTTTAGTAAGTGACTTTAAAGCCCAATTCCAGCCAAAGCTCATGTTGTTGCTGTCATAATCCCTATTGGAGAGATTCCCTGTGACTTCCAGTCGCCAGGACAGGAAGTGAGAGGAAATCTTCCCTATGGGCACACAAAACAAAACCTGACAGAGGTTTTAACCCTTCACCACTGTATCCAAAATGAAAGTTATGACTGGGTTGAATTTGAATTACAAGAGAAGCTTCTTTCACCTTGTCTTAATACAATTTTGTTTTGATTTTCATCTTTCCAGTGAGTAATGGCTACCATATACCATGGGATCCTTTGTTGATGCAAGTAATACAGAAACAGCAGCTGATAATTAGGGGATGCCCATTATCCTTTCCTAAATTTTGGGACTCTATAGCTGCATGGAGAGTTATAAGTGTACAAGAACTGAGCGAATTTGACAAGCATGCCAGCCTACCACCTCCGTCCAGTAACAAGATGAAAAATCTTCTCAATCATCTCTACAAGCTAAACGACAGAGTCAAAATCAGAGTTCTTCTCTATCTGCTAAAAGTTCACCATGAACATATATCTAGTGATCTGCACAAGTGGATCTTGATGATAGATGAAAAAGGTAAGCAAGTAAATATTTAGTCTTTCTTTCTTTTTTTCTTTCTTTTTTTTCTTCTTTCTTTCTTTCTTTTTTTTTTTCTTTTCTTTCTTTCTTTCTTTTTTTTTGTTTCTTCTTTTTTTTTTTTTTTTTTTTTTTTTTTTTTCTTTCTTTCTTTTTCTCTTTTTTTCTTTCTTTTTTTTTTTTTTTTTTTTTTTTTTTTTTTTTTTTTTTTTTCTTTCTTTTTTTTTTCTTCTTTTTTTTTTTTTTTTCTTTTTCTTTCTTTCTTTTTCTTTTTTTTTTTTCTTTCTTTTTTTTTTTTTTTTTTTATTTTTCTTTCTCTTTTTCTTTCTCTTTTTCTTTCTCTTTTTCTTTCTCTTTTTTTCTTTCTTTCTTTCTTTCTTTCTTTCTTTCTTTCTTTCTTTCTTTCTTTCTTTCTTTTTCTTTCTCTTTCTTTTTTTCCCTCCTGTATGTTGAAAATACTTGCACCACATAACAGAAGCTTACCCCCGCCAACAAAGCTTTAGTTCCACTTTAAAGGATAAGTTCTCCTTTGGAACATGTTAAATGTTCCACCAGTTTTAGGGCGGTACATGTAACATGTTCTCATAGCTGCAGTGAAACAACCCCTTTACTAAAGCACAGAAATAAACTAAAGTTAACTCTCCAAAGAGGAATGCTACGGCTCCTGTCAGATTCTGACACTTCTAGGTATGTCTGATGTATGGTCTGCCTTGGCACACTGGGATTCCTTTTGCTGGCTGCTGCGGGACTACAGAAGGTAGTAGGGATGGCAGGGCTGGTAGAGGAAGCCATGGCAAAGGACAATTGGAAGATTCTGACAGAGGCAGTAGTATTCCTTTTCTATAGGGTGACTTATACTGTATTTCTTTCCTTGCTTTAAAGCTAGCTTGACACTCAAGCTTTAACCAGTTCTTGACTGTGCTATAGCCGTATGACGGCTACAGCGTGGTTGTCCAGTTCTGGGAGGGTGTCATATGACGTCCTCCCAGAACACGGCCCCAGCGTCACACACCCGGCACTGTCTGTGATCGCTGTGTCCTTTGAACACAGCTGATCACATGACACGGTAAAGGGACAATCACACCAAACTTTTTCCCATGTGATCAGCTTTGTCCAGTCACAGCTAATCATGTAAATACACTTGCTGGTTAACGGCAGTACTTTTCTCACGCTGTCACAAACTTTTTTTAAATATTTTGGTAGAGTAGGGGTGAGAGAGAACCCCTGTCAGTTTTTGTTTTTTTTTTTGGCTTTCTGTGTCCTATTAGGGGCATTTCCCTTCACTTCCTGTCTGTCCCCATAGCCAAAACAGAAAGTGTGAGGTAATCCCTGCAAATTAAGGGAATCCATTTGGGTCCCCATTGAAAGATATGCCCTCTATTACTGTTCTGGGGCCAACCGAAAAATTTTCTTTTGCTTTCACTTACGATTAGAATGGTAAACAGGACAAACAGGGTGAATTCTTCTTAAGGGGGGCATAGGTAGCAATAACAAGCTGACAGGAGCTCTAATCCTTCTCCACTCTGTCCAAAACCTAAAAAAAAAAAAAAAAAAGTTTTGCATTTATTTACACTTTAAAGTGAAACCACGTTTTGCTCCTGCAGGGCAAATCAACTGTTAGAATTTAAATGCTGGGCTTCCCAGGCACATATATTCTCTTTTCCTTCACACCCTTGTTGTTCTACGTTCTCTTCTTTCAAACCAGCGCTGTGCATGAGAGTAGTAGATCTCTCAGCTCTCTCCCTCCTCATAGGCTCAGAGACAACTCCCGCTGCTGTCAGTGTCTATGGAAACACAGCCAGCTTGAGAGTGAGCCCGCATGAGTGTTTCCATAACAGGAGGCTTGGGCGGCACTTTGGCTTAGTGGTTAGCACTTCCGCCTGGCAGTACTAGGGTTGTTGGTTCGAATCCCAGCCACGGCACCACCTGCCTGGAGTTTGCATGTTCTCCCTGTGCCTGCGTGGGTTTCCTCCGGGTACTCCGGTTTCCTCCCACACTCCAAAGACATGCAGGTAGGTTAATTGATTCCTGTCTAAATTGTCCCTAGTATGTGTATGTATGAATGTGAGTTAGGGACTTTAGATTGTACACCCCTTGAGGGGGTCCTCCCCCATCCTCTGGAACTCACTGCCCCAATCCATCAGACTGTCGCCTTCCGTCCTCACATTCAGGCGCTCCCTCAAAACCCACCTCTTCAGGGAAGCCTACCCCACCCTCACCTAACGGCCATTCTCCCTCTTTCCTCCCACCCCCCCTCATTCCCCTCAGCCACTTCCTACTGTGCCATTACCCCCTCCCTCCTAGATTGTAAGCTCGAAAGAGTAGGGCCCTCTTACCCCTCGTACGTTGTTTGTTATTGTTGTATTGTCGTCGTCCCCCATTGTACAGCGCTGAGCAAACCCTTTGGCGCTATATAAACTCGATGTAATAATAATAATACTATGGTGGGCACTCAGTGGGAAGGAGGAGCCAGGAGCACCAGCGGGGAGGACCCGAGAAGTGGAGTAACGGCTGCTCTGTGAAAAACTATTGCACAGAGCAGGTAAGTATAATATGTTTGTTATTTTAAAGAATAAAAATATGCATTTATAATCACTTAAGTGCCACCAGACGGCATTCTCTGCTCACTTATTTCCTGATTTGCTTCCTGGTGAAAATGAAGAGGACGTGAGCAGTAAACTCTGAGGTTGATCTCCCTCGATTATTCCCAAACTGACGGAAACAATTAAGGTTTTGGTAGACAAGGTTCAGTCCTGTTTGAAGCTAGAACCTTTGCCATAATGGGTCCATTTCAGTTTTCCAATAGTACAGAATGTGCTGCACAGGGATTGCCCGAGGCCAGTAACATTGTGTATGCTTCCCATGAGGTTTTTACAGCAGTACACTGTGAAGGAAAAAAAGTGGAAAGTGCCTGTGGTGGATTTGGCAATTTCCTGCCTCAACAAATCCCTTACAGTTTCCATTGAGTATGTCCTAGTGGAGAAAAAGTTTGAGGCGCTCCTTAAAGCCTCTCTTGCTCTGTCAAGCTTGGCCATGCAACTGTTGGTGGTTTCTATGGCTGTTTTTCAAACCCTGGCAGTCTGGGTCAGGAACACAGAGTGCAACAGTGGTTAGATCCTGACTGACCCCTCAGTGCGCCAACAATTGGCGTTCATCCCCATGGCCTTACACTACTGCATAAACAGTTGAGTGGACTTACTGCGTAAAATTTCCCACCAGTCCTTTCAGCGCAGATGTGCAAGATCCATTGACTGCAGAACTGGTCTATGGAGACATCTTTTTCAAGGAAGTCAGGAGTGAAACAAGCACAATTTTACTGAGTAAGAAGAATGCTTGGGTGTCTAGGCAAAGGCTGCTGCTTCAACATTTCGGAAGAGTTCATTTTTTCCCTCTTAGACTTCTGCTTCAAAAGTCCTACAGTCAGTTCTGTCACAGTTCTTAAAAGTCAAAGCTAGCCAAATCTGGCATCAGGTCCTCCTCACAATGAAGGGGCACTCCCGCTTGTTCAAGCAAGGGGACCTCTGCTGACCTTTGAAGCCGCCTGGATTTAAGGCATATTTTGAATCTGTGTTTGGAAAGTGGTGTCCCAGTGGTACAGGCTGGATGGAGTTTCATGCCCCACCACCTTCCTGCTTTATGCTCTCAAACCTGCCTATCTGTCTGTTGAGATTGCGGGCCTTTCAGACTGCCTTACAACAGCTTCACCCTTCAGGTGTGTTTGTACTATTTCAATCCTTTTTACTGTCTTAAAGGTGGTTTTTTGCCCTATACTAGACTTGAACTTTCTGGTGACGAATGTGGAGGACAGCAAAAAGGCACTTTCCAGCCTTTTCTGCAGTCCCCATTTCCAGAATAGAGACAGACTTTCTAAATGATCAGTGCCTGGAAATGGGAGAATTGACTCGCCACAAAATGCTCCAGGTCAGCTGTCACGGCTGGGGGACCCTGGGTGCAAATGAAACCAAAGTCTGGAGAGATCATAGTTATTCCTGCACCACTTAAATCTAGGAAATCAACTTTTTGCAGTCTACTATTACACTTGGAAGGTTTACTTTGCATGGGGTGAGACATGAATGTTTCATCCTAGATGATACTGCATATGACATAACTGATCCTTTCTTCAGTCTTGACTGGAGCAACATATGATCTTGAGCACTGTGAAGGGTCAGGTCTATTCATTGGCCATTCTCTTTCACAGACCGCTGGCCAATCATTCCCTGTTAAAGACTCTTGTTCAGGGGGTGGCTTGCATCTTTTTGTACACGTTTATCACCTTTGTATCCTAAAGCAATAGTAAAGTCGTGATGAAAAGATAAGATAATGTCATAATGTGCAAGTATATATCGCTTACTAGCACATAATGAAAGACCTTAAAATGAAGCTGACAGGGCTTCCATCTCCACCTGGTTTCCCTTCCGGGTTCACAGGCTCTGGCCATTTGAATGGCTGAGCCACGATGATGCCACTTCTGTGCATGCCCCTGGGAGCCATGGTCGCGACACAGCGTTCTCAATGGACAGTATGCCGTCCTTTGGGAGCGCAGTGGGCATGCGCTGGTGATGGCACCAGCTGCAACTAAAGTAAATATATCCTAAACAATGCACAATTAGGAGATATTTACTGTACCTACAATTAAGCATTATAGACTTACCTGTAGGTATAACTTAAAAACTGGACTTTAACTACCACTTTAATTTAGGTATGTTGACTCTGTAGAAGTCTCCTTTCAAGCCTTTCAGGCTATTACCTTGTCCAATCTTGATAATTAGGTAGTTTTCTCTCATGACTATCATATCAGTGAGATGGGTCTCAGAATTGACAGCCTTATTCTGTAAAGAACCCAGCCTTGTTCTTCATAGAGGCAAAGTAATTTTGAGGCCTCTGGCCTTTTTTTCCTTTAAGTGGTTTCCTCCTTCCACCTTAATCAGGACGCGTTGTTCTGCCTTTTTTCCCTGCTCCAATGCACCCCAAAGATGTCTCTACATTGTTTAGTTGTAGTACGTGCAGTGCGAGTATTTCTCTTTGCCACTGCTTTGAGTTGGGAACCTTGTTTTGGGGCTGTTGGCATGGTTTTCTGATTCCCACCTATCACTTGTAATGCATGGGGGGGGCATCCCATGGCCAAGAGTTAACCCTTTGAGGACCAGGGGGCGTATTTGTCCCATGTTTTTAATTGCGTGTATCTTCTGATTTTTTTTTTTTTTTTTTGATTCAAAATTTTAGTTCTTAAACAAACAACAAATGGGTCTAGCTTTTTGCCAATTATTTCATGAAATGGCTTTTTGTACGAACTTTAAAAACAAAAAAAAATTGATTCTTTTGGCGTTTGAAATCTTACGTCCTCAAAATTTTAAAGGAGCCTGCTTCTGATATTGTACTTTTACGAAATAAGGATTTTTTACTTGTAAAAATTTTTCTTGGTGTACAGTACAGGGCACAGGATCTAGCTCATTCGTGCCATCCATGAGGATTGCTTAGTTACAGCAACTGTTATATGGCTGTCCTAGCAACTTTTCCAAAAAAATGATTCACCTTTTTGGCAGCAGATAACTCTTATGGTCCTCAAATTTAAATGAGCCTCCATTCTGCCCTGTACTTCAGAAAAGGATTTTAAGGCAATAAAAATACTTTATATGTCGGCTTTCTGTTATTCCCTTCACAGGACTAATATAGCATGGTGCTGTCAGGCCTAAATTGGGAGATTCCCATCAGGAGAATTGAGATTAACATGTCAATATGCTGCTGCTCTGTCATGTTCCAGTAAGTAGGCTGAGGGCTTTGACCTTGCTATAATAATTACAGTAAAGAAAAGGGAGAGCCACGTGGTCTGGTTGGAGTTCCTCAATCACAAAACTGACTGAACAGTTTTACAAATACTTTGACAGGTTTCCAGGTTTCCATATGTATCTCAACTATAACTGTTTGGCTTTGAGTTCAACTGCTTTGTACAATTGTGCATTTTTCATTTTTAAATTCTCTTATTTTTGTTCAAGGTCTGCAGGCTGCAGAAGGTTTCCGCATTCGCAGTCAAGAACATTTGAAAAGTATTAAACCCCAGGATCTCATTAGCTTATGGAATGCATCTTATGGGAAGAACATAAACCATGAAATAGCAGATTCCTTATCCAACAGCCTGTATGACACCCTGTCTAATATGAGCATACAGGGTTTTCGGTGTTTTGTGTGGTTTCTTGAGGAGAATCGGAACATTGAATCTGTATCCACCTTAGGAAAAGAATTAGATAAATATTTTCAAGAGATGGGTAAGCTTTTGAATATACTTGGGTAGTGGTGGGCTTATTTACTAGAGGTGATTTTACTTTTGTTTAAATAGTAGAAAACACTAATATCTAGAGGACCCAAGCAACCAATCAGAAATGGTCTTTTTATGGGCTGGGATAAATTCCCACTCTGGGATAACTTTTCTTCAATATTCATTGGGGCATTAGTGAAGGGGTATTAGACCTGCACCTAAGAGGATAGACACTATTCAAAAGGGTTTTCTCCTCCCTCTGCAGGCTGTACCCTCCTGCTCTTGAAGAAAGGGCTTAGTTTTAGCTTGGAGTCCTAGGGAGTAAGATGTCTTAAAGCAAAACTAAAGTTCAACTTTTCTAGTGTCTGTTAGATGTCAATAATGGGTTTGTCAGGCAAGAAGTGAGATTTTGGAAGTTCGTTCAATATCATGATCTCTTCACTGGCTGCCCTTGGGAAGATTTAGGCTGTGTCAGATTGGGAAATAGAAAAATGCATACAAAATTGCAGCACAAAGCGCTTCAGTGTGGATGGTTCCACTTTAAAAGAGAAGTATGGAGTTTGTGTTTTTTTGTTTTTTTTTCCAAATTGTACTTACCTAGGTGGATGCAGCATCAGCCTGATGCTGCATCTGTCCGACAACTGGCTCTAAGGGTGAAAACTCAGCAATGAGTTCTCACAGCTGCTCTGAGCAGAAAGAGGTGACTGTCAGTGCTGTCTGCTCTGCCCCCCCCTCCCCACACGATATGTGTTGCTCCAGACTCTGGGCTGGATCCCAACTATAAAGTCGGTATCTTTCCCCAGCCTGGACCTGCTGAGTGACGTCAGCCGACAGCAGGCTTCAACCCGCTGTCGGCTGAAAACTGGTCACAGGAGTGCAGAATGAACTGCACTCCTGTGATCTACAGGAGAAGTACAGCCAAAAGAGCCTTTTAAGTCATCCTTTTTGCTTCAAATGTAAATGTAACAAATCAATCAAATCGCGGGGCCAAAATTTTCCAGGAATTCTCCTGGATAGAGTCCACATGTAAGAAATATGCTGTTACACTATGGTATGGCCAAAAAAGAGTATTTTTTTGTGCAGTGGGTTTGTTAGGTTTTCAGATGTTGGGATACTTGGTAGTTCTTGTCTATACCATATTTTATTTTTTTATTTTTTCTAGCAGAATAATTGTAAAAATGTACCTTTTTGTTTGAAATCGTGAGAAATCTGACATTTTTAAAACTTTCACAACTTCTAAAAAAAAACTCAGGCAGACCGAGGTTTGCTCTGAAGGGGGATTTGAAAACCTTACTTGCCTAACTGGTATTGCCCGTTGTATGAATGAGAAATTCACATCTCTCCTGCAAGTCTAATCATTGCTCTAGAACCAATCTGAGCAATGTAGGTCAGCTCTGAAAGCTCAGGTTTTTTAAACATTAAGCGGAACTACAGTGCATCTAAGCACCACAAACCAAATACGCTATTTAATTAGCTTTTAATATTTAAAGCAAACTCCCTCATCTATTCATGTCTTTGTGGTTTATTTTGCTGAGAAATCACTTAGAAAAACACCCCCCTAGCATTTATGGCCTTTGCCATCTTGAGTAAGGGTCCTTTCACACAGGGGTTCCGTTTGTTTTTTTTTCCTTCAGTTCAGTCACCTTTTTTCAAAGAAAAAACGGATGAGCTTACATCCATTTTTCATCCGTTTACATTGGCTTACACAATTATAACATTTTTGGCTCTATACACCACCACGATGAATTTGAAATGAAACGAACAAGATGTGCTTTAACTGCAGACTGTTAGCTTTAATTTGAGGGTATTTACATCCAAATCGGGTGAACGGTGTAGGAATTACAACAGTTTGCATATGTGCCTCCCACTTGCTAAGGGACCAAAGTAATGGGACAGAATAATAATCATAAAAAAAACTTTGACTTTTTAATACTTGGTTGCAAATTCTTTGCAGTCAATTACAGCCTGAAGTCTGGAACGCATAGACATCACCAGATGCTGGGTTTTATCCCTGGTGATGCTCTGCCAGGCCTCTACTGCAACTGTCTTCAGTTCCTGCTTGTTCTTGGGGCATTTTCCCTTCAGTTTTTTCTTCCGCAAGTGAAATGCATGCTCAATCGGATTCAGGTCAGGTGATGACTTGGCCATTGCATAACATTCCACTTCTTTCCCTTAAAAAACTCTTTGGTTGCTTTTGCAGTATGCTTTGGGTCATTGTCCATCTGCACTGTGAAGCGGCGTCCAATGAGTTGTGAAGCATTTGGCTGAATATGAGCAGATAATATTGCCCGAAACGCTTCAGAATTCATCCTGCTGCTTTTGTCAGTCACATCATCAATAAATACAAGAGAACCAGTTCCATTGGCAGCCATACATGCCCACGCCATGACACTACCACCACCATGCTTCACTGATGAGGTGGTATGCTTAGGATCATGAGCAGTTCCTTTCCTTCTCCATACTCTTCTCTTCCCATCACTCTGGTACAAGTTGATCTTGGTCTCATCTGTCCATAGGATGTTGTTCCAGAACTGTGAAGGCTTTTTTAGATGTCGTTTGGCAAACTCTAATCTGGCCTTCCTGTTTTTGAGGCTCACCAATGGTTTACATCTTGTGGTGAACCCTCTGTATTCACTCTGGTGAAGTCTTCTCTTGATTGTTGACTTTGACACACATACACCTACCTCCTGGAGAGTGTTCTTGATCTGGCCAACTGTTGTGAAGGGTGTTTTCTTCACCAGGGAAAGAATTCTTTGGTCATCCACCACAGTTGTTTTCCGTGGTCTTCCGGGTCTTTTGGTGTTGCTGAGCTCACCGGTGCATTCCTTCTTTTTAAGAGAATGTTCCAAACAGTTGTTTTGGCCACGCCTAATGTTTTTGCTATCTCTGATGGGTTTGTTTTGTTTTTTCAGCCTAATGATGGCTTGTTTCACTGATAGTGACAGCTCTTTGGATCTCATCTTGAGTGTTGACAGCAACAGATTCCAAATGAATCCATTGTGGTGGTGTATAGAGCCAAAATGTTAGAATTGTGTCGATGTCCCAATATTTATGGACCTGACTGTATGACCTCCTTTGCCTAGGCATGGAAACCAGGAAGTAATGTAAAAAACAATAAAAAAATAAAGTAAATACCATATACTTTCCTATCTATTTTACTAACACTATAGCAGCATAAGTATTAAAATAGACCATATTGATTGAGAGAGTGAAGTTTTAAACTCATCTCTGCTAGCACGGGGTCCTGCAGCATTTTTTGATTGGGAAAGGGCATATTTAGGCATTTCCAAGTAAAATGTGGCCAAAAATCATATATGAGACTCCAAATAGATAAATATATATGTAATTCTTTGTTAAATATATTCTAGTGTACAGTTGTGGCCAAAATTATTCAACCCCCAATGCTGTAAAATTCAACCCCCATGGGTTTAGGGACTATAGTGTACATTTGGAATTGTATTCAGAATCAAATCCTACAAGGACGTTGTAACTACCCAAATGCAACTAAAATGACATCAATTGTTTATGTAATACAGTAGTAAAAATGGTTCTTATGTGGTTTCTTCATTGCCACAATATTCAACCCCTTAAAGACTACCACTCTGAAGAACAGAGGTTCATACAGGTGCTTCCATCAGGTATTGAAAACACCTGTGGATGTCACCGAGCAGCAATCAAGCATAATAAGCACCAATTAGGCAGCTTTAAAATGACTGTGATACTCAGCTCCTTCTAGACATTTACTGGTGTGGTTACAAACATGGTGTAAGGCAAGAGAATGGTCCAGGAAGACAAGAGAAGAGGTGATTTCTCTTCACAGGAAGGGCAAGGCAATGGCCAAGATGTTAAACATACCAGAAGAGCAGAAAGATGTTAAACATACCAAGAGACACCTTAGGAAGCATTCATTCGCAAATTCAAGGCAAAGGGCACTGTTGAAACGCTACCTGGTCGTGGCAGAAAGAAGATGCTGACTTCGACTGCTGTGCGCTACCTGAAGCGTAGAGTGGAGAGAAGTCCCCGGTGTGTGACTGCTGAGGAACTGAGAAAAGATTTGTCAGATGTGGGTACAGATTTCAGCCCAGACAATAAGACGCACACTGCGTAATGAAGGCCTCCGTTGCCAGAACTCCCAGGCGTACCCCCTTGCTGTCTCCAAAGAATAAGAAGAGTCGACTGCAGTATGCCAAAGCCATGTGGACAAACCACAAAAGTTGTGGGATAGTGTTCTGTGGACTGATGAAAAAAAATTAGAATGTTTGGGCCCATGGATCAAAGGAGGAAGTAAACAAGGCCTATGATGAAAAGAACACCTTGCCTACTGTGAAGCATGGTGGAGGGTCAATCATGCTTTGGGGCTGTTTTTGCTTCTGCAGGTACAGGGAAGCTTCAGCGTGTGCAAGGTACCATGAATTCTCTTCAGTACCAAGGAGATATTGGATGGAAACGTGATGCAGTCCGTCACACACCTGAGGCTTGGGAGACGTTGGACCTTTCAACAGGACAATGATCCCAAGCACCAAGTCCACTAGAGCATGGTTGCAGCAGGAAGGCTGGAACATTTTGAGTGGCCATCGCAGTCAAGACTTAAATCCGATTGAGAACCTCTGGTGGGACTTAAAGAAAGCATTGCAGTGCGCAAGTAAGAATGTGACTGCAAAAAAATGGAGGCCTTTGCCCTGAAGAAATGGGCGAAGATACCCGTAGATCGCTGCAAGACACTTGTGTCAGCTATTTTCACGTTTAAAAGCTGTTATAACTGTAAAAGGATGCTGTACTAATATTGTTATGTTATATTTGTCTGACTACAAGTGCCTCTTTAATGTAAATGTAAGCAAGATGATAATGATCAAAAGCAATGTCAAACTGGCCAAAACACTCAATTTCAGTGGGGGTTGAATAATTTTGGCCACAACTGTATTTTATTGTGCATTTCTTTCTGGTAGCAGCATAACATGTTAATTTTACCTTTTACTGTTTACTACAGATGTACCATGTGGTAAAGTTCCAGC